CATGGATGGATGATGGATGGATGGATGATGGATGGATGGATGATGAATGGATGGATGATGGGATGATGGATGGATGGATGATGGATGGATGATGGATGGATGGATGATGGATGGATGATGGGATGATGGATGGATGATGGATGGATGGATGTTGGATGGATGATGGATGGATGGATGGATGGATGATGGATGGATGGATGGATGATGGATGGATGGATGATGGATGTGTCATCCAGCACAGGTTGCTCGTGGCTCTGCCAGCTGAGATGTGAAGGTTTTATCTCTACATTGGATTTTGGGACACGTTTGTTTTTTTCCGTGTCGTCTTTTTAAAATCTGCTCATGAACAACTTTATGAACGTACGCGTACTGCTACAGACAGCGGCTTTTAAACCCACAACTGACCGTGCACAACTGACCGTGCACAACTGACCGTGCACGCATGGTGTGCTTCTGCTCAGCAATGTGCAAGAATTGTAGTCCACTCCACACCAGGTCCACACCGTGTGACCAAGGTGCATCAGCAGAGCGATGAGTAAAGACATCGGGTGTGGGGGTGATGGTGGAAGACGCAGGGAGGCACAACAAACAAAGCAGCATCAGAAGCTGCCCACTGGAAGAAGAAGGTACCCAATCATCTGGCTGCTGTAATCATTGCCTAACAGTCATTAACCTGGTGAGCAGAGGTTTAGCTGCATTGTTTGAAGGAGTCTGGGATGCATAATGACAGACTAATATGTCATAGCGCTCGGGGAGACGGGGGAGGGGTCGATTAATGAGATTTTACTGGAGGGAGTGCACAGAATGGGTGGGGCATGCCTGGAAAATACAGTGGGACGAGGACGGCATGAAGCTAATTGGAGGATGAGTGCCTCCTTGTAAAAGAGGTTCTAATGGCATGTTGGTTCTCCCGCAGCATCACGAGGCTAATGCAGTTCAGAGACTCGTGCTTGGAAACGTTGTGCACGTGTTACACTGGAGATGTGCGTCTTAACACACTGCTTTATGATTTTCTAACCTTCAGCGGAAACTTTGCTTTGATGCGGCGAAATCTGCAGAACGGAGCGACAGTAGGAGCGGAAGTGTCTTTTAATAAAAACCATTACGACACAATAACCGGCTGGGGGTTCACAAACTGGACTTGACTCATATGTGTCCCTTTTCATCATTTTTTAATCACTTCCTTTGAGTCGTTGTTCCTAAGGTGACGCCAGTGTGCACGTTACTTTCACGTTTCCCACGTTTCCCCTAAAACCTAAATCATCCGTTGAAAGTCCTGTGGAACGGTCACGCGCAGTTGTTGAAGACAACACGTTAAACAGCCTCAGTTTGGAGAAAACCAGTTTAATTTTGACCAGCTAACAGCAAAATGCTGACCTGGAAGTGCTACTGCTAGCTGCTGCTGGAAACAGCCATAAAACTGGTGCATGGTTTTATGCACAGCTTAATGTGAAAATGAGAGCAGAATAAATAAATCTGTGAAGGTCTGAAGGTTTTCAGACTAAACTTCAGGCGCTCTTGCATGGACTGAATAGAACTGAGTTTATTTGAGGAGCCATCTGCAGCAGGTATGACACTGTTTGTTTTTAACTCACTGCTTTAAGAAAGCTCAGCATCTTCTCCGGCACAACCCCCGACACAGAACCTGCTTGGATGTTCTATCGAACGCCATCGGGCCGTACCTGCGTCGTTCTTTCTTAATTGAAGTTAAAGCTCCTGTTGAATTGGCAGCAAATAAAATGAGCGAGCGCAGTTGGATGAAGATTACATTTTCTGTAAGAGTTTACAAACATCTGTAGATTTCTAGATGATGTAAAAAAACTGTTTGGTATTTGAGCTGTCGCTTTGGTTGATGGGACTCTAAATGACCTGACCTTTTTAACGGTGCGTTAAGATCAAATTTAATTAGGATTTCATCATCAAAGTGTCACGCATGCATTTTAAACAAGATAACTTTAATAAACATCCTTTAAATGAAAACTCTAAACTGGTCTTCAACAGGATACCTTGACTAAACCAGTGTTTTTAGTGTCTGAAGTGAGACAAAAAGACGAGCGTGCTTCTTGGACACACACTCTCAGAATGTTCTGCGGCTGAAACTATTTAAACATTCTCTTTTTAATTTGCTTTGAGTGTTTTTGTTTCAATTAAATAAAGCGGAGATGCCCACATGGCCGTGCAGAATGAAATAATGGTGTCCAGGCTGGAATTTAAAGTCGTACCTCCAGGCTAAAAGTCCAGAGCGCACAGAATGAAAGTGTAAAATGTTTTTAATGTATATTTAACAACAAATACCCCAGTGACTATTGATGTTTCGTCTCAGAAGAATCTATTTCTTTAGTATATCTGAGGGCGTGATATGAAACCGCTCACACTTTTTCTGCTTCTTCCTCAGTGTGCCTCTTTTTTCTGTCTCTCTTTAAACATTTATCTTCTGTTTTCTCCTTACAAGCCCTTTGTGCTTTGTGATGTTGGTTTTTACAGCTTTCTACTCGCCCAGTTGCCATTTATCTTTCATAGATGCCAGCAGCGAGGAGCACAGAAGAGATGCTCCCGTTTCAGTGACTAATTGTCATCGTTTGTGCTGCTCCCTTGATGTCACTTGTTACTTCCTCAGCAGTATTTATCTTTGTGTCTCCTTTGTAAATTTACATTTATTACACGTGAATAAACATGTACGTATCCCATGTCCCATATGTGAGACCGTGTGCACATGAGCGAGGAGACAAGTTTCTTATTTTTATGCTTTTCAAACCATATTTAAACAATAATATCCATGAGGGTGCTCTGTTGATCCCTCTGCAAATTATCAGAGCATTTTTTGGGAGGAACTGATTTATCACTTTTGCCATGAACAAAATGCACAAAAAAATCAAAATACAGAAAGATATACTAAATATATTTTGTTAAAATTGTGTCTTTTCTGCTATTTCCAAAAGTAGCAAATGTTAACTAAAGCCCCGAGTTTATTTGCAAACAACACAACCTTTACCACTTTATATGATTTCCATTTTAGAAAACGTTGCAAAAATAAATGTATATTCATGTATGTTGTGCAATGAAAGGAATTTAACCTCTAAACATGTTCAAAAGTAACACATGAAAGTCGTTCAAAGTCCATTATTTCCTCTTAGTTCGAGCCTTGCACTGTTTTAGATATAAAGAGTGGAGATGAATTCAAGACAACCGGCGTCTCATTATTGGTTCACACTAATTATTCTGTCATTTCTATCGCTCTTTGTTCCAGCTCAAAGAAAAAAAAAGTTTTTAAAGAAACCCGAGGAGATATTTTTGTACACTGGGGGAGTTTCAGCAAAAGTTTATATTTATAAAATCTATTTTAGTCAGTCGTAGATTTAAATGAGAACTTTACAAAAAGTGCAGAGGCCTCCTGACAGCACATCATGGATATATCTGGGAAGTGCACCGGTCACTACAGAGGTGGTGCAAACAGCAGAGGACATCACTGGCAGCAGTCTCCACACCATCCAGAACATCTACCACAGATGATGCCTAGTAAAGCAGCATCATTAAGGACCACACCCACCCAGCACAAGGACTCTTCCATCTACCACCCTCAGGCAGACGATACGGGAGTCTGTCATCACGTACAAAAAGACTAAAGGACATTTATTATTGACGAGCTGTCAGATTATTGAACGCTTGATAATAATTGAACTAAGATCTGTGACAACTAATGTGACTAATATTAGCTGTGACATCCAATAAGTTTATTGCTGCCGCACTATGTGGCTGTATCATTTCTGTCCCAACCTTACCATCATGATTCATCTCAGTGTTCCTCACTACCTGAGCAATAACCTGCCACTCAACCTGCATACTTTATCTTAGTTATGTGCAACATATATAACGCGCATTTAAGCTTATATTACTACCTTGAAATACTTAAATATATATATATATATATATATATATATATATATATATATATATATGTATATACAAAATCATCCTACTTGCACCGTTATATTCTACCATGCTGTTGTTTACTATATTTCTTTTGGACCCTGTAAATGTTATATTTCTTTTTCACTTTCTGGTTTGTAACTTTATTGCGTGCTTTAGTATTTCTTGTTTTTTTTTCTTAGTGAGTCGAATCGTTTCTTCTCATCCTGAACATTTCATTGTTGACCTTGTGTTAACCTGTATAGGACAAATAAACAGCATAACATAACAAATACTAAAGATGCATTACATTTATTGTGTGATTACTGTGCCAGTGAGCTCGACTGATGAAGAATAGATTGAAAAGTTGGATTTTTGATGACGATTTTATAGATGATGCTGTAGGACCTTCTGAATTTTATGAGCAAAAATACTAGCCTCTTCTCCGTCTTGTCTTTTGACCTGGCTGATTATTCACAATCAATAATTGTTTGTATCTCCTCTCTTGTCTCTTCTGGGACATTTAGGATGCTGCAGGCAAGGTGCTGGACCGTTGGACCATCATGTCCCGCGAAGAAGAGATCATCACCCTGCAGCAGTTCTTACGCTTTGGTGAGACCAAGTCTATTGTGGAGCTCATGGCTATTCAGGAGAAGGAAGGTCAGGCAGTTACGGTTCCTTCATCAAAGACAGACTCTGGGATTAGAACATTCATAGAAAGTAATAATAGGACCCGCAGCCCAGGGCTGTTAACACATCTGGAAAACAGTAGCCCATCCAGCATTCACCATTTTGAAAACATCCCCAACAGCTTAGCCTTCCTTCTACCATTCCAGTACATCAACCCAGCCTCTGCCCCCATGCTTGGCTTGCCCCCAAACGGCCTCCCGTTGGAGCAGTCCGCCCTACGGCTTCGGGAGCCCAGCCTGCCAAATCAAGGAGAACATGTGGAGACTAGTGAATCAGAAGTGTCTCTTTCACCTTTCCGCACAGGACAGAGTCCTAGTCGTGGAGTACTGGGAGGCCTTAACAGCACTGAGCCCAAGACAGAACCCAACAGCTGCGCATCACCCATCTCACCAACCCCATCCACCCAGCAAGCTCAGCAGCAGCAACAACAGACACAACTTCAGCAAACGCAGCAAAGTCAACAGCAGATCCAAAATCATTCTCAGCAGCCCAACAGCTTGAGCGAACACCAGGTCCACCACCACTTTGTCAAAGATGAGCCATCTAAAACAATAACCCATCCTTCATTCTCTTCCAAGATGCACAGGATGCGCCGCATGGGAGCCACCTCACGTAAGGGCCGTGTGTGCTGCAATGCTTGTGGAAAAACCTTTTATGACAAAGGCACACTGAAGATACACTATAATGCTGTCCACTTGAAAATCAAGCACCGCTGTACCATTGAGGGATGCAACATGGTGTTCAGCTCACTGCGCAGCCGTAACCGCCACAGTGCCAATCCAAATCCACGGCTGCACATGCCTATGCTGCGCAACAACCGAGACAAAGACCTCATCCGTGCAAATTCCTCCAGTGGTACATCTGTCATCTCAAACAGCAAGAATAGTGGTTTTACACTTACTAGCCCTGGACGGCCACCACTTGGATTCACAACTCCACCAGTGGACCCCTTGCTTCAGTCACCTTTGCAGAGTCCGTTAGTGTTCCCCACATTGAAGTCAGTGCAGCCTGTGCAGCCAGTGCCTCCATTCTACCGAACTCTAGTTTCCCCTGCAGACCTCGTCAGTCCTCCAGTGTCATTGCCAACCAGCCCCATCATGCCCTCCACTACCAACAGTACCGCCCTGATGGACCAACAACAGCAGATCCTGGCTGCTGTTGCTTCACATAACAATGTCCACTTGTCAGAGGCCCACCGCTTATCCAGTGCTGGTGCCCATCAGGACCTCACCACAAGCAGTACTGACCCCACACCTAAAAAGAAACCCCGTAAGTCTAGCATGCCTGTTAAGATTGAGAAGGAAGTGATTGATGTGGCCGATGAATATGAGGACAAAGATGAAGACGATGATGATAACATCCACCATAATAACCATCATCACCAGTCAACCCTTCTCCATAACAACATCAAAATGAACGGTAACTGTAACGGCAACAACAGCGGAAGTGGCACTGGACACCACAGTGGTGGAAGTGGGCAGCAGTCCCCCTCCCAGGACGAGATGAGTCCTGGTTTGGCTCTCAGAGGAATGATGAGACAAAGTGAAGATGAGTGTAGGGAAGGGACTGGTAGTGATAGCAGAGGTGGAGCTTCAGAGCTGCGATGTATGGACAGCTTTACCTCTGAGGATCAGGACCACGAAAGAGACTTTGAAAATGAGTCTGAAACATCTGATTCGAAGATGTTCTACCGAGATGAACTGATGGATGCGGAGGAACAACAGAAGCACAGCAGGGGTGGAAGGGGTCTGGACAAGGAGCACGAAAGTGAGGCTCATGAAGAAGCACATTTGAGAAAAGAACTAGAAGGGAATGGTCATTCGTCACCCTCCCCTCATCACCCTCCAATCAAGATTAAGGAGGAGCTGAATGATCCAACGTATGACATGTTTTGCATGAGCCAGTATGGTCTCTATAACGGAGGCATGGCTGCGGCTGCCGCTGCCGCCGCGAGCATGGCTGCTCTGCACGAGAGCTTCATTTCTTCAATCGGCTACGGCGCCAGCCCGCCCAAATTCCCTTCGTCTCATTCACCAGAAGGAGATCCGTGTTCAAGTCCTGACCCCAAGATCTGCTACGTTTGCAAGAAGAGCTTCAAGAGTTCGTATAGCATGAAACTGCACTACAAGAACGTGCACCTCAAAGAGATGCACGTGTGCACCGTAGCTGGATGCAACGCTGCTTTCCCGTCCCGGCGCAGTCGAGATAGGTGAGTCCAAAAAGTCTGACGTGATATTTTAATGCACTTTTTCTGTTACATTTCAAGGTAGGTTTAATTCTACTTAGCCTGTTCATAGAAGTTTTGTTTAACAGGATTAGTGTTTTAATGTTTTACGGTACCTGGGCCTCCCTACGTTTCTTTATATTTTGATTTCAAGGTCCTGGACTTTGATTTCTTAAAGTGGTCTTGGGCAAATTAAACTGCTGTTCATTTAACACTATCCTGAACATCCAACAGTTTTCAGTCTGGTCATATGGACAGTTTCTTGTTTTGTTGAAACGTTTCACCTTCCATCCAGAAGGCTTCATCAGTCAAGGAAACACACAACACAAATCTGATTCTTCCCACAAACAGCTTACTCCAAAGTGGAACAAACCAGTTATGTTGGTGCTAAGATATCCTGAACAATTTCACGAGATTAGATTATTTTCATTGTTAAAACACAAACTTCAAACCTTCAAAAGCAAACTTGAAAAAAAAAAAAAAATCTTAATTCATGTTATGAATCTGTGCTGCTTCTAAACACATGAAGTAACTTAGAACAAAAACAGCTGGAATTTTTGTTTTAAATAACCGTTTTAGCCTTTTGATAGCAACATGTCACAAAGACTTTTGTTCTCATTTCTTCAGTAAACGTGACAAAAATACCACAGATTATAAAAATATATAAAAAAAATGTATGCATTAATTAGTTAACTATTAATGATGTAGTTTCATTAACTTGGCATGTCAAGGCTCAGTGTGCAGCAAGTCTTTAATGCAATGAGAACATTGGGAGAATTTAAGATTAAATAAATTGTAGCAGGTTTGAAAAGGTATAAACAGTTTATGGAAGTTATCTCAACATGAACTAGTAAAAAAAAGAGCATTAGCAAAAAGCTGATGTGTGAAACACATCTGGTCCTTGAACCAACAGCTTTTAGGAAACTCCCTTAGTTGAGCAAACTGTTTATACTTGTTGAACTGTGTTACTTTTTATTTCTACGACAATGACAAGACAAGATAAGACGAGACAAGACATGACAAGATAAGACAAGATAAGACAAGACAAGACATGATAAGACAAGATAAGACATGATAAGACAAGATAAGACAAGATAAGACATGATAAGACAAGACAAGACATGATAAGACAAGACAAGACAAGATAAGACAAGACAAGACATGATAAGACAAGACAAGACAAGACAAGACAAGATAAGATAAGACAAGACAAGACAAGACATGATAAGACAAGACAAGACATGATAAGACAAGACATGATAAGACAAGACAAGACATGATAAGACAAGACAAGACATGATAAGACAAGACAAGACAAGATAAGACAAGACATGATAAGACAAGACAAGACATGATAAGACAAGACAAGACAAGATAAGACAAGACAAGACATGATAAGACAAGACAAGACATGATAAGACAAGATAAGACAAGACAAGACATGATAAGACAAGATAAGACATGATAAGACAAGATAAGATAAGATAGGACAAGACAAGATAGGACAAAACACGACAAGATACAATAAGATAAGACAAGACAAGACATGGTTGGACAGGACAAGACATGATAGGACAAAACAAGACAAGATATGATAAGATAAGACAAGACAAGACAGGATAGGACAAAACAAGACAAGTTAGGACAAGACAAGATAAGACAAGATAAGATAAGACAAGATAGGACAAGACAAGATAAGACAAATTAAGATAAGATAAGATAAGATAGGACAAGATATGACAAGACAAGATAAGACAAATTAAGATAAGATAAGATAGGACAAGACAAGACTAGATAGGACAAGATAAGATAGGACAAGACAAGATAGGACAAGACAAGATAAGACAAGATAAGACAAATTAAAATAAGATAAGATAGGACAAGACAAGACTAGATAGGACAAGATAAGACTATATAGGACAAGACAAGATAGGACCAGACAAGATAGGACAAGATAAGATAAGACAAGATAGGACAAGATAAGACAAATTAAGATAAGATAAGATAGGACAAG